TCAAGAACGATAACTGAAAGATGTTGTAAGTACATGTATACATCGTATGTACACTTAATACACGTGTAGACCTGGTTCTGATACATGTATATGACACAAAGCCAGTTGTATAGGTGTTGAAGTATAATTTAAATAATTGTATAATATACAAGAAAACCTGAAATAAAGTCATCATAATTAATAAACATTTACAAATCTTTAATGACTTTACTTTTAATTACAAAGATGATAAGAAATATGTATATAAAATAATTATATTTACCAATCACCACTGTAAATCAGCTACAATATTTATATCCTTAATTCTCATTATATCGCGGGTTCCATAATATCGTGGTATTTCCCAAAAATTAGGATACGTAGCTCATATCCTTTTTGTTGATGGACTATCTGTCTGTCGTCTGAATGTTGACTTTTGTGATGATTATAAAAAGTATGGAACACCCGTTGGAAAAATATTTATTCAAATAAAACAAGATTTTACAGATTTTCATTCCCGTTTTTATTTTATTTAGACCATTGAATATATAACCAAGTAAAATCCATATTAAAGTTCATATTTTGAAAACCTTAAGTTTGTATTATACTTAAGTTTTCATGTAGATTTACATCATAAATAAAAAAAATAAAAATTGTTCTTTGTGACCATGCCAAACCTCCATGTTTTCAATACCGCGATACAATGAGACTCTCCACTTTTGGAGGTAAATAAGACTTCCTGTTATAAAAATAGAATACAAAGTAAACGAAGAAAGCTTAGAAAATAATTAGCCACTAAAAGGTTGGGCCATTAATAGGTTTATGAATAGTATTTGGTAAAAAGTTAATGTAAGAATTTGGAATAACTTTTTTATGCAAAAGAAATAAGTACCGCAACATTATGAGACACCAGTATACGTCTATCCCTGTAAAGGTTGTAGCGCCGAATGTACATGGAAATCATTTAGTCGTGGGAAAGTTAGTAGAAAGATATTAATAGAAACAGAACTGGTCAAACTGGAAATGGTCAAATATGTCACACCTAATAAACATAAACACTCACATCTGGACATTCACACATGACAACACAAACGTATACACACACAATAGAAATAATTAAAACATTGAAACTGAAACATTTAATTACTTACATTGGTTACACACGTAAATATTTTTCTGTCCAATCAGACAACAGCATTTTTACACAACCCAAAACGTATTTCAAAGGGAACAATATGACTGATTAGTTAGGGGCTGTCCACACTGTGGCTTGAACCTACAACCCTCAGATATAAAATCCAACGCTATACCGACTGAATTGAAGGGTTGACCCACTAGCTAGTGCTATAGTAGGAGCCTGGCTGCACTATATACAATGCATTGCCACTTTTAACTCTGTTACACATGTTACAGGAAGAAAAAGAGAACACATGCTTTTGTTTATTTCTTCAAAAAGATTTTGTTAACAAAAAAATTTTAGAAGTAAGATGAAGAGTTTGTAAGAATAAGGTATTCGCGACATATTTACCACAAACAAACATGACATTTTCATCTTGAAAAAAAATTTAATGCATGTAACAATGCAACTGTTAAGGCCTAAGTTTTTATTTTTATTTTGGTTTACGATTTTCTGTCTCAAAAAATGCATTTGTGGTCGAAAAATAAAAATAAAAATAATTTAGGATACAACAATTTCATTTTAAAATACCAGCAATGTTGATTTTAATAAAAAATAATACACGTCAATAGTACTTTTAAGTTTTATTGTCTAGATCACATAACTCTTTTTATTAAATTTTTATTCATTTCTAACTCTAGACTTAATGTCATTTTTATTTAATTCTGATTTTTGTGTGTCAGTCAGTGCTTGATTCATTATGTGTAACTTCTTTATGTACTCTTCAGTGATGTATTATAATCCTCGGTATCCCCACAAACTAAAAATAAGGGTCCAATTCTGGCCTAACTATTATCTATAGGTGTATCCATGCCTGCTAGGCAAGGGTTGGGCATGCACTCTCCAATATTACAGTTTGAATTTAGCCAATCAGGGATTTATCAGACTATTTTGGGATACATCATTTTTGGGGAATTGGGAAAAAATTATCGGCTATTTGACGAAATCAGGAAAAATTTAAAAATATTGCTTACATCATGTATTCAGGTGTTATTCATTTTTAAAAATATCAATTTAGCATGAACTCTAAATTGGGCAACCAAACAGACAATTAAATATGATCCAACTTCATCATACAAGATCAATTATAAATAATTGATAAATAAGACCAGATTTGACTTCAACGAGTATAAAGTATTTATACAACTTAGGGTAGTACATGTGTGTATAAGATTCCAATTTAGGTCATAAGAATCTGGAGATTATAAACCTCCTACAAAAAAGTAAAAGTCTCCTTTTTATGTAAAAATGCATTGAAAATATATTTTTCTATCTGAAATAATGCCTACAGTTCTTACCATTCATTTGTATATCAATTGAGTATGTGGAAATAACTTAATAAATCTATATTATCACACAATATCAGCATTTTCAGAAAAACAGAGGAAATTCGGATAAAAGGACGGCAACGTTGACGGTGTTTTTCAACGTGTTATGACTGTAGCTTTGCTAATTAAATGAGTTAAATAGAGGAAAATTACAGACAATCTGACAATTTTACTTAGTGTTTTTCCAAGATAATTAAATATAAAAGGATTGTTCACCAACAGTACAACTGGGAAAAAATACTGCTAAATTGGGAAAAATTGGTCATTTTTCAATTGGGAATTGGGCTGAATTTCGGCCCCTGAGAAGGTACTGATAAATCCCTGCCAGTTGAGACATTGCAGTTAGAGAAAGGGATTATGCATCAAAGATTTTATTCTCATTTCCATGCAGAAAAAGTTCTTAAAGTGTGTGTTTTTTGCTTTCAGTGAGGAATTACCTTGTTTAATAACAGAACCGCCATATTTGGTTTGCACGTGTTTATTTACGGTCACCTAAATGTTTGTAAAGGTCTCATATCTTAATAAGCAGTTATTTGACTAAGATGCATTCTAAAATTAAAAACCCACCAGTTCAGATGAGAAAAATCTGGAAAAATATGTCGGAACAAAGACATTATTTTTATTTTCATGATTGGTGAAAATAAGGGTCGGCGGAATCGTAAACCAAAAGAAAAAAAAACTTTGGCCCTACGGAGAAATAGATCACACCAAGCTATTATCAATTATAATATTATAACATTTACCAGAACATGCTCTGTGTTGGTAAATTTAATTTTTGCTTAGCCGTCCGATTTTCACCAATAACGTATCATTTCCATGGGTATAGATTTCCTGCATACAAGTGTTCATCGTATAAACTACATTAAAATATCAGGGATTTCATGAGCACCGAAAACCATGTTATATGCATTTTAAATGGGCGTAAAGAAAGGTGTAAAGCATGGAGAAAAGAGAATGTAGATGAATGCTTTTATCACCCAGAAACTGATCGATTTTGTAATACATGTAAACACTCAGGAAATAATTAAAACTTGTATATTCTTAAATCCTCATACGAAAACATTATCAAGCCAGGCTCTGAACTGACAATCTGCCATATTTATATCAAATTAGGATTGCTATCTCGAAGTGACAAATTTTTAATCCCACTTGATTTTATTCTAATTCAAAGCTTTCAAATCATGTTTGTTCAGTGGAAAGAATGTCATGTGTGCTGTATCATTCCTAAATGTAAAAAAAAAGTTAACATAAAATTGTTTTAGAAAAATATTTTGAGCAAGAAAGTTTAAACCAGGTTTTTAAAATTATTTTCTCATTGCATTGTTTTTCGAAATACCATTATCTGATTGGTCAGAAGGATTAGCACCTTGTTTATTCTGTGTATTTATAGCAATTCACAGTTATCATTCTTGATTTCAATATTTGGAAATATTGTCCAAGCCTGATCAATGTATGGTGATAATGTTTGGTAACACAGTCACTTTCAGTGTGTAATGTAAAAGGAAAAAAATCCCTAAGAAATTTAAATGTGACATTGTTTGAATAACTTTGAAAACAAACTTGATTTTTGTAAGGTAAAAAATTATAGAGATTGAAATTATCTTTTCAATTTCACTTTGTTGAGGAAATATGATCAAAGACAAGATCAAGTTTATCAATTACATGTACCTAGTATTACTATACAGAACACTTGAACACCCTCCCCCTCTTATTTTTCCACATGCAATGATTGCATTCCAAATTTATAAAAAAGTATATTTTTCGTAAAGAAAAAATAAAAAAAAATGTTTTAATTTAATTCAGCATGCAAGTAAAACTCCAATAATGACAAAAAAATATATAAATAAATAAAACTAAAAGAACATATCTTTTTAAGAAACTTAGATGTAATCAAGTAATAAAATTTTCTTTTAATTAAAAGTATAATAGATAATAATATTGAGGATTGTTTACATCTTAAACATTTTATGCTTATCTGTACAATTATGACCTAACAATCATGTGTTGACAATGTCTCTAATGAGTGAGAATTTAATTGTCAAACATTCCTTCCAATCTACTGCATTTTACAATTGTTGAAGCAAAAATTACCCGTGGCAGCTTTTGTCTTATCTTTCTTCCTGAGCCCTGTGTAAATTGCCACAATGCAAAATTTCGTAGCACATACTCCTTGTACCCTTATGAGAAAAAAAAACCAATGTTACGAAAGAATAAACATTCAAAATATGTCCGTTGTTTTAAAAGGATTTTCTTCATATTCAAATTTAGTTTCACCTCTTCAGAAAAAAAACATTGAAAATGTTTAGCATTCCAGAATTTGATGATTTTCAAATTAATTAAAAATGGTCACTAATTTGGTGACTAATGGAGAATTTTTAGGTTCCAGTCTAAAAATTTAAGCACCATGGCAACTTAATCATTCACAAACTACAGCCTTGACTGTTATGTGTAGCAAAAGTTCCTACTCGTTCTATTTTTTGTGTTACAGGTTTAAGAGCAATAATTAGGTGATGATGTCAGATAATTTGGTCGTGAAGTCAGAGGTCGTGACCTTGCATACACTTTGTTCTGAAGATCCAGTATCTGATGTTGAATTTACTGGTATGTAGTGATGTACTGATTAATTGATTAAATTGATTATCTTATCGAAATGGCCCCTGATTACAGATAATCGATCAATATTTTGATAATCGATTAATCAAAATATTTGTTAAAAGCAAATTATTCCTTTGATTTTTGATTCATTTTTCTTTGAATTAAACTGAATTCTAAATAGTAATCTAATTAATGAATCCAATGATACAAGATATATCAAAAATGTATTCTAGAAATCACTCCAGAATTTTTAACTGATTTATTCATTAAAAAATGAACACATTTAATACTTGAAATCAAGCAATTACTAATTGATTATAGTCCATCCGATTATTTCGATAATCGATTATGACAAAAATTCTGATTTCCCATCATTACTGGTATGTACATTGGTGACTTATTTAATCCAGACCCCTCCATCCCCGACAAAATCATCTGGATAAATGAATCTTTTGGATAAAAAATCCTCTCAAAGCATGTAGATAAGCATATAGTGGTATATTTATTAAATGATTGATTATTATTTTTAACGCCGAGTCAGCAATATTTCAGTCATATTTCGGCGATGTATTAAATGAAAGAGCAAAGAAAATACCTTTATATTACCTTGATTTTTTAAAAATTTTATTTTTATAAATTTAAAAATCGTAATTAATATTCAAAAAAGAAAATTTTAAATGTAATTTACACAAAAAAAGGAAAGGAAACTTGACTTATTATCTTTTGAAAAGAAAAAAAGGTTTCAGATGTTCAGATATATGTATGTTTTGAGTAGGGGTGAAACGATACACCTCCTTCGCGGTTTGATACGTATTGTATAATTTTGTCTCGGTACGGTTATTTTCGGTACGATACATTTTGATTGAAGGAAACAAATTCAACCTTGTTTTTAACTTCTTTTACTAAATCTAGTCACTTAATTTACGAGTTTTTATTTGCAAATTGACTAGAAGAAATTGATTAGAATTCTGTGACTGTCAAAATTTTTTTTACAAACTATCAGTCATCGAAAATTTACGTTTTCTATACTTATTTATCCTGAGTAACGTGTTTTACCTTATGCCAAACCCGACTGAATAACGATCCCGACTGAAAAATGAACCGAACCGAAAATTAGAGATTTTGCACCGTGTATCAAACCAAGAAAAAATACCGCGGTGAACCGTTTCACTCCTAGTTTTGAGAAATGAAAAATCATATTTTGTTAAACTTAAACCACTTAAAACCAGGGCCTGGGAAGGGGTCGTGCCATGCGCCATATGCGCATACTGTCGAAAAATAGCACAATGAAATAATGGTGCGCAGCGCCATGCGGCGCGCCCCGCAAAATGTGGAAATGCATGTTTTATTACTTTGTAAGTTCATCGCAGTCCGCGCTATCTGTATTCTTCATCAAAATTAGATGGAATCTGTGATGTATCATATAATAAATAATCGGAACCATCATTCGACATATTGACATCCACTGGCAAAGAAACAGTTTTTTTTTTCATGTCGTCCGATTCGCAATTGTTAAGTCATTTTCGATGGTTGATCACAGCTTAACAAAAGTCATGCACATGGAAAATTTATGTACCTTACAATGAAAAACCTTTTCAATGAAGTCCACTTATTTTTGCCTGTCCCATGATCGGCATCATTAAAAAATGGTGCTTTTGGTTTAAATATAATTTTTCTGAATACTAGTTGGGTAGAATCTAGATGATGATTGACTGAAGTTCTTAGAAACGGAAAAATCATTTGCACTTTAAGTCAATGTCATATGACTTGTCAATTCCTATCGCATTTTTCTTTTTAATTTTCCTAAATTTTGTTGTCAGAGATATATGCATTATCATATAGCATCATACTATGATTTATTTTAGAATGGCCCCAATATATTTTCCCTTGGCACCTTAAATTTCAAAATGGTCCCATCATTTTATGAACAGTGGGGCCATTGGCCCCACCTGTTGCTTGACCTTCCCAGGCACTGTAAAACCGTAACGAAATCTCGTGATTTCTCATTCATTTTATTTATAACTCTCTAAATTTCTCATAAATTTATATACCGTTAGCAATTTATTCTATTCTGAACAGATTTTTATTTAATCATGTTATTAAGTGCACAGTGTAAGCTTAATTCTTTGAGCTTCATACTATAATAGACAGGGTAAACACATCCAAACTTCTTTTGGGGAACATAATGAAAATTCAGAGTTCAAAACCTAGCGGAAATACATGCTAATCTTGATCATAAATCATATTTTAGTTAGTATGTAACTTTATATGCTCACAAATGATATCCAAAGTTGCTTGTCTTGATTATAGAAAAGAAGCAGACCTTAGAGAATTCACATCCTGTAAAGGAGGAGGAAAATCAACAGCAGCTAAATATTAAGGTAAAATCTTTTTTAGGACCCTACTATATGGCATAACTAGTCACTGTGTCCATCTGTCTGTTTGTCCAGGGTCAACACTTTTATGTAACGCATACTGGAGGATTGCTAGGAGGAAGACAATTAATAACAACAAAATAGACATAAAATAGGGTGGGATCATTAAAATTCTTCTAAAGAACCACTGGACCAGAACTGAAAAGATAAAACTTATGTGAAAACTTCCTTGGGGTATCACAGATCTTAAATCAAGGCTGTTAAGGGTAGGATGGGACTACAGTAGAATTTCAAATGACTTATATATTATATAGGAAGAGGCATTTTTCTACTTGAAAAAAATGAATTTTATATAAAAGCTTACTGAAGTAGAATAAAGTCTAAATTGAAATCATAGCCTCTAGGGGAAGGGCGTGGGGCACAAAATTTGATCAAATTTTTATATATTGAAACATCTGAAAAAAATGTTTTTAAAATTTTTCAAATGAGCTGCTGGTCTAGAAGAAATGAAACATGTTAATGCTTCCTGATGTAATAAAAATTATAAATTTTACAAATAATTACTCCCAGAGTTAGGGTGGTATTGCAACAACAGATCAAACTTTAACATTCAAATATATGGGGGAAAATCTTTAAAAATCTTAGTTCTCATTGCCCCAAGGGGTAGGGTGGGACCACAAAATGGGATCAATGAACATGCATATAGGGAAATATTTCTTAAACCCCCTGCAAACAAAGTTTAGGGGCATATATTGGATTCAGCGTGTCCATCTGTCTGTCTGTTCATCTGTCTGTAGACTTGATGTTGTCCAGATATTGTCTTCATGTTCCTGAAGATTATTGCACGGATTTGGTAAATCCATTCATTTTTTTGCACTCATTATTATAATATGGCATTATAATAATAATTGCCAAATCTTAAAGCTGGAACAATATTGAACTTTATTCCGCTTGTGATATTGATGGATTTCTAAAAATATGTGTGTTTTTTTCCTTGTTATCATCAAAAGTAACATTGAACTGGTTTCTTTGTCACAAAAACAGGTGGAAATGACAGCCCTTTCATCCAGATCACAGACTCAAAGTGAAGCTGAAAAGTTAAACAATTGTAATGATAATCAAAAAGAAATATCAGAAAGACAGATCAATACACATGTGAGGAAAAAATCCCAGGAGTGTAACATATGTGGTAAAACTTCCAGTTATTTATGTTGTCAACAAGTAACATTAAAACTGATTCCTTTGGCACAAAAACAGGTGAAAATGGTAGCCCTTTCATCCAGATCACAGACTCAAAGTGAAGCAGAAAAGTTAAACAACTGTAATGATAATCAAAATGACAAATCAGATAAACAGACCAATACACATGTGAGTAAAGAATCCCAGGAATGTATTATTTGTGGGAAAACCTTCAGATATTTATCGGATTTAAAGGCACACAAGATGACACATAAAGGAGATAAGCCTTACAAATGTGATATGTGTGAGAAGGCGTTCAGCAAGTCATGTAACTTACAGACACATATGAGGACACATACAGGTGATAAGCCTTATAAATGTGGTATTTGTGAGAAGGCGTTTGTCCAATCTGGTAACCTACAGACTCATATGAGGATACATATAGGTAACAAACCTTATAAATGTGATGTGTGTGAAAAGTCATTCACTGTATCAGCATACTTAAAGCAACACAAAAAGATACATACAGTTGACAAACCTCATAAATGTGATGTGTGTGAAAAGGCATTCACTGTATCAGCATACTTAAAGAGACACATAAGGATACATACAGGTGATGCACCTCATAAATGTGATGTGTGTGAAAAGGCATTCACTGTATCAGGACACTTAAAGAGACACATGAGGACACATACAGGTGATAAACCTTACAAATGTGATGTTTGTGGGAGATCATTCTCTGATTCATGTAGCTTACGGAAACACATTAAGACACATACTGGTCAAAAACCTTATAAGTGTGATTTGTGTCCTAAAGCATATTCTAAAAAAACCTATTTAAATGGACACATGAAGATGCACACAGGTGTTAAACCTTATGAATGTGAAGTATGCGGAAAGGTTTCCTCTTCACCAGGAAACTTACAGGTACACATGAGGATACATACTGGGGAAAAACCTTTTGAATGTGATATTTGTGGAATGGCCTTTGCTCTTTTAAGTACATTAAACAATCACATGAGGACACACACAGTAGATAAACCTTATAAATGTGAGGTATGTTGGAAAACATTCGGACAGCTAGGTACCTTGCAAAGACACATGTTGAGTCATAAAAATGATCGAAATTGTAATATTTATGGGAAGGTTTTCAACAAAAGAAACTCATAAAGACACTTAAGGATGCATACTGATGATAAACCTTATTAATGTGATTTGTGTGGAAAGGCTTTCAAGCAATTATCAAGCTTAAAGAGACATATGAGGACACATACAGGTGATAAATCTTACAAATGTGATGTGTGTGGAAAGAATTCTGCTTCATCTGGTTACCTAATTAAACCTTATTAATGTGATTTGTGTGGAAAGGCTTTCAAGCAATTATCAAGCTTAAAGAGACACATGAGGACATACAGGTGATAAATCTTATAAATGTGATGTATGTTTGAGGGCATTCAACCAAGCAGGTAACGTAAAGAAACACATGAGAACACATACAGGTGATAAACCTTATACATGTGATTTGTTTGGGCGGGCATTTACACAGTTAGGTAGCTTACAGAGACACTTGAGGGTACATACATGTGAGAGCATTTATGAATGTGAATTGTGCAAGAAGGCTTACACATCTTCATTTAACTTACATTCAAGTGAACATAAGTGAAAAATTCACATGAAAAATTCCAATTGTGATGTGTATGCATCTGGATAGTTTTTAATGTCCAAGTCCTGGTATACTAAGGGAGACAATCCGAAACATAAAGGTTGAAAGGCACATACTTGTAATGCATGTAAAAAATCAGTTTAAGATTCGCAAGAGGAGAAGCATCAATCCTATGTGATTTGTTTCAGATAGGTTATAGGTAAACTGATAAAAGAGAAAGCTTACCAGGGATTTTTTTAGGGTCTCTCCGGGGCCGAAATTCGGCCCCATTCCCAATGCTGAAAAGTGTATGTTTTTCCCAAAATTATACCTAAAAATTCCCAATATGAAAAAAAAGTATTAAGTTGTAAATTATTAAAATAAAATAATGACAAAAAGGTGTTTATGTTCTCCATGTGCGATGTACGAGCCATCCGAGGAGTTCTGAGAAGTTATTCGGAGTACTACGGATGTTTGTATGCGTACTTTTTAAAGCGGGATCGATGTTTAAAAATTAAAGTCGGGATCGTTATTTAATAAATAATCGTGGATCACTCTCCAGTTTGCCTAGTACGGTAATTTTTAGGCAGGCTGGGTTGAATCGCTCTTATTCTTATAAATTGGTCAAACAATACCGATTAACCCATCATCTGGAACAAACCCACTCTCAGATTTTATCTTAAAGAACTTCTTACAGAAAGGTAAAAAAGATGACAACGTATAAATATGTTCATTTACAATGTTATCATACCCTGCGGCTTTGCCATTTTTAAGCTTCTGAACTTCAACAGCAGCTAGTATTATTTCATATCACTAAAGCTGGTTTAAGCCAGCTTCATACTATAAAAAATAAGAAAAATGATTAAATATTTGACTTTTGCTTCTTTTTTCCTATTTATTTGTATGAAGATATTTTTCCCAATTTCAACCAAATATCGCTATTTTTCCCAATCTTGAGGGCCCCGGCCCCTGGAATCAAAGGGTAAAAAAATCCCTGCTTACCGATTTTGGACATGAACAATGATAAATGTGGTATAAAATATGTTTGAAAATGTTAAAACCAATGAAAAGTTGATATAGGCAGGAAGTTGTGTCATGGAATTGGTCAATTTAACAAACCAGAGAAAATACCATCATGAACAAATCTTTTAATTGCATAATAGTTCTATACTATTGTAGAAACCGTTCGCGGTAGCTCAGTTGGTAGAGCGCTCGCTCCGTGATCGGAAGGTCGTGAGTTCGAATCTCGGCCGCGACAGACCTAAGTCGATAAAGAAAAGGTACCAACTGTTCCTTCGCCATGTGCTCGGCACTTTGAAGTGAACGTTGCGGGTCCTTCGGATGAGACCTTAAAAACCGAGGCCCCGTGTCACGACAGGCGTTGGCACGATAAAGATCTCTTATTGCTCAATGACCCTGAGTGCCGAGTATAGGTCAAAATTTGAAGCCCTTCACCAGTATATGGTGACGTCTCTATATGAGTGAAAAAATTCTCGAATGGGACGTTAAACAACATACAATCAATCAATCAATGCTATTGTAGAAAGCTCCGTATTCAGAAAGATGACGCTTTAAAACATGTGAGATATCTTCAACAAGAGTAGTTGACCATTTCCATCCATGATTTCTTGAAAGCTCTAATTTTGTACTGAAAATGCACATTCTTGATGAATGAATAAGTGTTAAATTAGCTTCATGTATTTGGCTTATGTTTGACATAAGAGTTGATTTATAATCTGTACAGTTTGTTGTCCTGCATTTCATTTAATCTTATACAAATAAATGTGAAGTAGAGAGACAACTCTTTTAATCCCGATATCTTGTGAAACTTACCTTATATTCTAAAGAATTTTTCCAATTTCAGGAATAACAAATCACGGTCAAATTTGATAAGGAGAAAAGGATTAATATTTTATAGTATGCTTGTAACTTATATCCTTTATAACTCCCGGGTCTGGAGAGCTATGTGGTGTTTGAAATCATTAGTTGGGTTTAAAGGCGGTTGCAGCACGTGGCATTTTGGGATGGGGGTGGGGTTGGCCATCTCACTTTTTGTTCAAGTAAGGGTAATGTGTATGAATATTCAGTACTTAAAGAAGTTAGAACTTAACCCCCCCCCCTCCCCACATGAAACAGGCTTTTCGAGGATGGACAATTTTCCTTATTTCTATTTGCTTGTCAAGGTAAATTGATTTTTTTTTCTCTGGCTCCCCCCCCCCCCCCTTCCAAGAACCCTGGGTTGGTCATCTAAACACTTAGAAAATCTTATTTACTAACTTTTTTTTAATGTAATTTTACGTTTCAGATGTAAAAATTTTGAGGAAGGCTCTAGTATCAAAAGTTAAAATGTAGAAAGGAAAGAACGAGGGCGCTTTTGATTGACATTCGGCAGGAATCAGGGCGCATTTGTAAAGTGAAAACTTTATTGAACTGTAAAATTAAATTTTTACATTCTTTTGACGTATTATGTTCCTATGATATAGGAAATGAAAATATTTTCCCTATTGTGTGTTTTGATTTCCTTAAAAATAACTTGAAACATGACTGGATGAGTCATTTGGTAAAAAAAAAAATGTTACATTTTTAAACACATTTTTCTAAAAATTTGCTATCTCTGGGTCATCTCTCCACGATTTTAAAAAGATATTTGTGTGCATTTATATTCGAAGAAATGAACAAACATTTGTAAAAAGTGGAGAGAATACCCAGAGACTATCAAAAAATGAACTTTTTCCAAAAAAAAAAAAAAAAAATACCAGTGTGTAAATGCGTTGCTTCTTTGTCCTTTTAAATTCCAGTGTTCGTGTAGCGATGATAGCTCAGTCGTATGCGTTATTAGTTCACTACACATACGTGTCGAGAGGTCTTTGGTTCGATCCTCGCAATGGAACTTTTTATTTTTTTCTTGTACAAACAATTAAGTCGTTTATCAGTTGAATTTTATTTACTGATATATAAAAGTATTAAAAGAGAATTTTGGCACAGTTGCACGGGGAGCGAAGGCAATTTTATTTCATATATCATACCCTATTATCTTGTTAGGTGTTTATTATTTATATGAAGTGTTACTATGTTGTCGTAACTATTAAGATAAGTGGACTAAAATATATTTTAAATTTGCAAGCTATTTTAATGTTAATCTAAACATTTTCCTATGTGCCTTACTTTGTAAGGTCTGTCCACTAATGGTCAGCCGACCAAATCGTGGACATTTAAACCATAAATGTTTCGAACAAATGATTCCTGCAGATAACACGCCTATTTAAGCTTGCCCTGTAATATTCATTTTTATTATTAATAGTACTAAATAGTAAATGAACTCACAAACAAGCAAAATTTCTTTCCGCTTTAAATCGTAAGAAAGAAGGCAATATTCCTAATCAGTATAAATTGTTGATTAATATATATATTTATATACATATATATTTAATTGTTTAGATATTACAACAAAAGGATCGGACACAAGTTCTTAAAACTTAGAACGTCCTCTCCTTTCTTTGATTGATTGAGATTAAGAAAGAATACATTCTCATACAACTTCTCGTTTGCAACTTAAATGGTCCCTGAGAATCACTGGAACAAGTTTTTAAGAGAAACAAATGTGTTATTTATGTGCTAGTTCTTGCTTTAAAATTCTTTTCTTTTTTTTTAATTTCTAGCCCGGGGTTAAGGTTAAGAAATTGGTTGCATTATTCACCCGTTTTCATAAAAGTAAATCATCTCTAATTTAAAATTCTAATTAGACACAAATGTCTGCAAATGTTCTATATAATAATTTCGAGATAAAAAAAAATATTGTTATGGGTCAGAATAACCAGATATGCCCGCAAAAATAAATTACATGGTTTAAACTTAACAACAATTCATTTACAATAATATATAAAAATCAAAAAGTACCAACGTACAACAAGAATCCAAACATACATACAATAAAGCGTCCGTTATTGTACACAGACTGTCCCAGTGAGGGTATCCAACACCTATCTTATCCAAGTCTCTTTGTACAATTTTAACCAAAATTGGTATAAAGCATTCTTGAGTGAAGGGGAGTTTAA